CTCTCTCTCTCTCTCTCTCTCTCTCTCTCTTTCTCCCCTTCTCTTCCCTATAGAGTGTATCCTACATATGATTTTGCTTGTCCATGGTGGGACAGTATTGAAGGTGTTACTCATGCCCTGAGGACTACTGAGTATCATGACAGGGACCCTCAGTATTTCTGGATACTTGATGCTTTAGGTCAGTCATTCCCAGTTCCTATAATAATAATAATAATAATAATAATAATAATTATTATTATTATTATTATTATTATTATTATTATGAAACTGTTTTTGGTTTCTACAGGTTTAAGGAAGCCGTACATATACGAGTACAGTCGTCTTAATCTCCAGAACACTGTACTCTCCAAGCGTAAGCTGACTTGGTTTGTTAATGAAGGAATCGTTAGTGGATGGTAAGTACATGCACATGTACATATACTCTCTAAATGTACACGTGCAGTGCTTTAAATACATGTATTTTTGTGTAAAAGGCCCAATTTCATGTTTGTCTATGCAATTGTGCATGTTCACATGTTTGCTAATGTAATTAATCATGCAGATATATACATGTATGTACATGTGCATTGTAATCTAGCTGAATTAACTTGTATTTTGATTAATGCAATGAATTGTCAGATGTACATTATTTTGCTTATGAACTATTTGTTATATTGAAGATTACTATACTTTGTAAATTAAACCTTTTATTATTATTATTATTATTACTATTATTTTTATTTATTTTTAAAATGTATTTTTGTGTCTGTAGGGATGATCCAAGGTTTCCAACAGTGCGTGGTGTATTGAGGAGAGGAATGACTGTAGAGGGTCTGAAATTATTCATAGCAGCTCAGGGGTCATCCCGTGCTGTCACTATGATGGACTGGAATAAGATATGGGCTTTTAATAGAAAAGTATGTAACAACAGAAATAAGACCTTTAAATTGTACACATGTATTTAAGTACATGTGTACTATTTAAGGGCAGTGCATACATGTACATGAATTAGTTTGATTTTTCCTTTTATTTTTTGACTTATTTAATCTCCTTATTTCCCCCCCCCCTCTCTCTCATTACAAGGTTATTGATCCCATCTCTCCTCGATATACAGCCCTTACTGACACTGTTCCATTGCTGATACCTGAAGTTAAAGATGAAACTAGTAAAATGGTTCCTAAGCACCCCAAGGTCAGTACTGCATGTGATAACGAACAAGCGTTATAAAGCATGCATATGTATGTATATTTTAATAC